TTAATAATAGTTTTAAGAATAAATAAACTTGGAACGAAAATTTTCACAAAGGTTTAATCAGTAATGAATATTTACGACCGCCACTTCTTGAGTGTTTTGCTCATTGTCGAAGGCACAACGTCGATGAGACGTCTCGCCGACCTCCACGGAGATCATGGCATCGGCTCTGAAGGTCAGCTTGTAAGGCATTTCCTGCGTTGTTGACTAGGGGGTACAGTGCTATGCCCAGAGGATGCTAGGGAGCTCGTCGACCCATTATCCCTTGGTGCTTCCTAGCCGCTTCTTGAGTTCTCGGAGTATTACTTTGTTCGTGGCTTCGGCTTGGCCATTGGTTTGGGGAGGCTCCACCGAGGTTGGGAGATGTTTGATTCTGAGCTCTCGGAGAAAGTCTACGAAGCTCTATGAGATGAACTTCTGCCGTTATTGGTGACGAGAGAATGCGGGATGCCAAACCTGCAGATGATGTTTTTCCAGGTGAATTTCTAGACATTCTTAGCAGTGATCTTGGCAAGTGAACACGCCTCGATCCACTTGGTGAAGTAGTCGATTGCCACTAGGAGGAATTTAAGTTGACCCTTTGCAGGAGGAAATGGTCCGAGGATGTCCATTCCCCACTAGGCGAAAGGCCACGGTGACATCATCTGGTGGAGATGTTCAGGTGGTTGCCGATGTACGTTGCCGAACTGTTGACATTCCTTACACCTTTGTACGTAAGCTTGGCAATCTGACTTCAGTGTGAGCCAGTAGTACCCAGCCTGGAGTACCTTGGTCGCCATCGAGAGGGCCCCATAATGCATTCCACAGATCCCCCGGTGGATCTCCTCGATGACATAGGTGGTCTGGAACTCTGCTAAGCATTTCAACAGATGAGTGGAGATGCCACATTTGAACAGTTTGTTGCCAATGATGATGAATTTGGCTGACCTCACCCTCATCTTCCGAGCTTCGTCTTTATCTTCGAATAGAGTTCCTTCCTTTAAGTAGTTCCAAATACCTGTCATCCATCCTCGTTCTACGCTGTCACTGGCTTTGACAACCTTGTCATCTAGGCTGGGCAAGTTCAAAGTCTCCTGTATGATGGTCCAATATTTCCCGGGGCATTTTGTATTGGCGAGCTTGGACAAGAGATCGGCTCTGGCATTCTACTCCCGGGGCACATGGTATATTGTAAACTCGTCGAAGGATGAGATCTTCTATGATGCTGCATGGAAGTACCTCTGCAGAAGGGTGTCCTTGGTCTGGTATGCCCCGCTGAGTTGCTCCACAATGAGCTTTGAGTCGCTGTTGCAACTCACTCTCTACGCTCCGAGGTTGCGAGCCAACCTTAGCCCTACCAGAAACGCTTCATACTCCGCTTGGTTATTGGTCACCTTGAAGCCAAATTTGAGAGATTGCTCTATGGTGACCTTATTCGGTCCCTCCAAAATGATACTTGCACCACCACCTTTAGAATTGGAGGATCCATCGACGTGTAAAGTCCATACCTGTTGTTTTTCAGCCGAGGTTGGGGTGAGCTCAGCCACAAAATCTGCCAGGTATTGAGCTTTCAAGGGGCCATGACTTTCATATTTGATGCCGAACTCGGACAGCTCTACTGACCATGCTATCATTCGTCTGGCGAGCTCCGACTTTCTCAAGATCTGCTTGATCAGGTAGTTTGTTTTGACGAGCACCTGGTGAGTTTGAAAGTAAGGCTGGAGGTGCCGAGCTGCGGTGACGAGTGCTAGTGCGAGCTTCTCGATCATTTGATATCGTTTCTCCATGTCTTGAAGGACTCGGCTGATGAAGTAAATCGGTATTTGCACTTTGTGGTGTTCTTGTACGATAACCGTGCTGATGGCGCTCTCTGCCACAGCTAGATAGAGGAGGAGGTCAGAGTGATGATCCGGCTTCTAAAGGACTGACGGAGTGGTGAGGAATATTTTGAAGCTCTTGAAAGCCTCTTCACACTGGTCAGTCCATTCGAAATTCTTCGGCTTCTACAGTAGGGTGAAGATGAGCCCTGCTCTCTCTGCCAACCTGGGGATGAAGCGGGAAAGGGAGACTAACCGTCCTGCTAAGCGTTGGACGTCCTTGACAGTCTAGGGACTCTGCATCTGGATAATAGCTTTGCACTTCTCTGGGTTGGCTTCAATGCCCCTGCTGGTGATCATAAAACCCATAAATCAACCTCCCTGAATGCCGAAAACACACTTCTCTGGGTTGAGGCGCATGTTGTGCTTTTTGATCTGGCTGAACACCTCGGCCAAGTCAGCGACATGAGCCTCAGCTGACAATGTCTTGACAACCATGTCGTCCACGTACACCTCCATGTTCCTTCCAATTTGCTGCTGGAATACCTTGTCCATCAGACGCTGGTAAGTGGCTCCGGCATTTTTGAGGCCGAAAGGCATCATGCAATATCAAAAATTTGCATGGTCGGTGATGAAGG